CAGGGTTCAAAATGGCCTCGCCTTATGTTGGGCGTGTCGGACCTCTCTCTTTCCTCGTATAGTAAGCAAAGTATGTGGCCGGTGCAGGACTGGGATCACGACACTCGATTCGATTTAATCGTACAATTCGACGTTCGACTCGACCGCAATTCGAAATAGGATTCATGAAACTCGATCGAGTTGATTTTCGTTTATTGTCGGTTTTTGAATTCATTTAAACTACTACCAAGACAAATGTAATGTTCTGTGTCAGTTACGTTATGTTCTGTGGTTGCGTTATGTGTCCTGTGAATGTATATAATGTGACAGTCAATAGAATGAAAACTCTTCCTGTTTATAAAATAATGTACAACAACAGGAGGTTTTAATATCGCAATATGAGAGTAAGTGTTCTGTGAATATGAGTTCCGTCTATAGCACCAAATGTACCAGTAAATCCCCATCTATTTAAAAACTAATTTAATAATATCTTGTTCATTTGCAGTTGGACATTTTATTTTAGTGACTACTACGTGATCTATCATCAAATTGGTAATAATATGAACATATTTGAAGACACAAGTGGATAGAGGGCCTATGTAACATTTTTTTTTAAATGGTGTTTTTTGTAAATGAAGGGATTAGGTACCTAAAATTTGTTTAAAATGTCTCCCGTGACAATATATCATCAAATATAGAAGTTGCCAGTGGATAAAGGACTCATGTACTAGGGAATAACTGCCAAACAATAAAGTTTAACACGAAATATCTGATAAAAATAATTTGCTACATAGGCCCTTCATCCACTTGTGTCTTCATTTGTGCACAGTACTCTGAGCCATTCCAAAAATATACTCTTGATCAACACATCTTTGATATGAACCAGTAGCATAAAACCTTAAGGCACATAAAACCATATTATCAATTGATATGCCCCTAAAATCCTGTCTTTGGTGTAGATGAGGTCGTAAAGTGTCTATTAATTCGTGAACTAAGACTTTATTGAGGCGAAATAATTCAATAAAACGTCTATCCACAAGGAAAAAAGGATTGTTGTTCAGTCGTAACAAACGTCTTTCTCTTATTAAGGCCAAATTTTCTCGTCGACGTTGTCTTTCTAATAAAACTTGGTGAACAATAGGAAGCATTTTTTTGTTTCTTAAACTTAACCTCAAAATTGCACTACTCTACACCATCTAAGCAGTCGAGTAATTGCGGTCGAATCGAGACGATTATTCGAATGTCATGAACATAGATTACTTGAAGTCATGAATAAATTTTAAACATTTCAGTCGATTAATCGAGATCGAGTATCCCAAATCGAGTGTCGTGATCCCTATGCAGGTAACAAACTCGATATATTTCTTCTTCTTTTTTTTTTCTTTAAGTTTAGTCCAAATGGCCTTTTACTTTTGTATCTTGTCAACAGTAGCGAAGAAATAAAGATAATTGATGTATTTTAATTAAAACCTAGTTGTAAACTTGTAAATAATTAAATTGTACTAGACGAAATATAATAATTTATTATAAGTTTGTCATTTTTATAGTGTCCATCATGTACATTTTTTGGACATCCATAGGATTTTTGAATGGGTATATCCATTGGAATAACGGAAAATGGATGTCCAATGGACATCCTTATGAAGTTCATGGACATCCAGGACATTATTTGGACAAAATATGGACGTCCAATGGACGTCGTATGCTGTCTGGGGAGTTGCCTGTAGTCGCCACAAATACTGCTACTGAGCATAAATAAATGATGACGTGTTTCAGGGTTTTCAAATTTTCACATTTAAAGGGGGGAGGGGAGACGGGGGTTGAAAGTTTGCATGAAAGCATCAATTTTTTCATAGATAGAAATTTGAAATTTGGAATTATAGCTACTCATCACAAATAAATAATGGTGTTTCAGGTTTTTGGATTTTCATATTTTAAAAGGGGTAAGAGATAAAATGGGTGCAAGAAGGAAAATAGGAAAAAGAAGAAAAGTGGGGGAAATTGAAGAAATGGGGGAAAGGTCAGGAGGGTGAAAGTTTGTATGATTATAATAAGAAATTTAAAATTTATAGCCATTAATAATTTCCAATTTTAACGGTTATTGTCAACTTTTGGATTAAGGCAAGTTTGATTAATTCGCAATATTTGTATCCAAAGAATCTGCAAATTTGCTGTGTACCATTAATTAGCGTATAGAGAACTAAAAATCTGATATGTCCAACACATTACTTTCCTATCTAGTTATTATAGGCTTTTTCCGGTTATTTTTTACAACCTATTGCAGCACCTTTATAAATGTTTAGAGGATAAACTAAATATATACATTTTCCACATACATCTACCTCAAAACATTTTTTCTATGGATATTCATTGAAAACGAAAATACTGAAAAATATAAATTTAACACTTTTCCTACAATTTTTCCATTACGGTCCATTTTATAAAAATCATGTAAAAACAAAAATTATACAGATCGATATCGCAAACAACTTGTAGTTCAACAATTTTCATAAAAATCAGAATTTTGCACATTTTGTCAAATTTCTCGAACACGGACCATTTCAAGAAATTTTGACATAAAGCATGAGTTTATGAGTTATGGTGGATACAGACAGACAGACAGACAGACAGACAGACAGACAGACAGACAGACAGACAGACAGACAGACAGACAGACAGACAGACAGACAGACAGACAGACAGACAGACAGACAGACAGACAGACAGACAGACAGACAGACAGACAGACAGACAGACAGACAGACAGACAGACAGACAGACAGACAGACAGACAGACAGACAGACAGACAGACAGACAGACAGACAGACAGACAGACAGACAGACAGACAGACAGACAGACAGACAGACAGACAGACAGACAGACAGACAGACAGACAGACAGACAGACAGACAGACAGACAGACAGACAGACAGACAGACAGACAGACAGACAGACAGACAGACAGACAGACAGACAGACAGACAGACAGACAGACAGACAGACAGACAGACAGACAGACAGACAGACAGACAGACAGACAGACAGACAGACAGACAGACAGACAGACAGACAGACAGACAGACAGACAGACAGACAGACAGACAGACAGACAGACAGACAGACAGACAGACAGACAGACAGACAGACAGACAGACAGACAGACAGACAGACAGACAGACAGACAGACAGACAGACAGACAGACAGACAGACAGACAGACAGACAGACAGACAGACAGACAGACAGACAGACAGACAGACAGACAGACAGACAGACAGACAGACAGACAGACAGACAGACAGACAGACAGACAGACAGACAGACAGACAGACAGACAGACAGACAGACAGACAGACAGACAGACAGACAGACAGACAGACAGACAGACAGACAGACAGACAGACAGACAGACAGACAGACAGACAGACAGACAGACAGACAGACAGACAGACAGACAGACAGACAGACAGACAGACAGACCGACGGACGGACGGACGGACGGACGGACGGACGGACGGACGGACGGACGGACGGACGGACGGACGGACGGACGGACGGACGGACGGACGGACGGACGGACGGACGGACGGACGGACGGACGGACGGACGGACGGACGGACGGACGGACGGACGGACGGACGGACGGACGGACGGACGGACGGACGGACGGACGGACGGACGGACGGACGGACGGACGGACGGACGGACGGACGGACGGACGGACGGACGGACGGACGGACGGACGGACGGACGGACGGACGGACGGACGGACGGACGGACGGACGGACGGACGGACGGACGGACGGACGGACGGACGGACGGACGGACGGACGGACGGACGGACGGACGGACGGACGGACGGACGGACGGACGGACGGACGGACGGACGGACGGACGGACGGACGGACGGACGGACGGACGGACGGACGGACGGACGGACGGACGGACGGACGGACGGACGGACGGACGGACGGACGGACGGACGGACGGACGGACGGACGGACGGACGGACGGACGGACGGACGGACGGACGGACGGACGGACGGACGGACGGACGGACGGACGGACGGACGGACGGACGGACGGACGGACGGACGGACGGACGGACGGACGGACGGACGGACGGACGGACGGACGGACGGACGGACGGACAGACAGACAGACAGACAGACATCGCGAAAATAGTCAAAACGAATTCAGGGGACCTCAAAACGTAAAAATCCGTCGATAACTCGAGGTCGAAAAAAATCATGATTCCTATACTTTCCTTATATCTGTATACAGATAGGAAAGTAAAAAATTGGTCGGTCTTACCTTTTATTGTAACAGTTACCTGTCTGAACACCTTGGGAACGTGAATTAAATTTTGAATTATTTTCTAAATAATTTAACCAAACCAATTAAATTTTTCAGATGGAGAAGGAGACACTCACTACGGCGTTTGTTCGAACTACTTACAAGATGTTCCAATGCATTCTGAAGTGCTCATGTTTGTCAGAAGGTAAAAATAATTTATTAGAAGTTACATAGTCTTGAATCTTGGATGCTATTTTTATTCGAGTTAATAGTTGTAATCTCTGCCAATTTATAAAAAATGTATAAGCGGTCATTATTTAATTATATTTTAATTTTCAACATAAAATATTTAAATTTAATCAATTATTCATTGTTTCACGTATTATTGACATACCAAACCTTTCCAAAGACAGTTCTTTTGTTTGGAATACCTAATATTTACACAACAATAGGTCTGTTCTAACAACTATCAGAAATCAGTCACTGCCACAAGGATTCTGCGCAGCAGATTATTCGGACCGTCATATTATCTACTGCGCAAGAATACTGGTGTCAGTGATTGGTTTGTGGTCTTTGTTTGGAACAGACCTATAATGTTATGTACCTATGTCGTGTAGAGTGAGGTGACCAAGTTTCTTTCTTTCGATTTAATTGGTCTTAAATTAAACTAGCTAGCCCTCCTTCTCTATTTATATACAATTTTCATTACAAAATTATATTTCAGCGCACCTGGATTCTATCTTCCGAACGATACCGTTACTCCAGTCATCCTAGTTGGACCCGGAACGGGCATTGCCCCTTTCAGAGCGTTCTGGCAACACCGCTACGCCCAGTTACTGAAACATAAACAGAAATTCGGCAAAATGTTGTTGTTTTTCGGCTGTAGAACCAAAGACGTTGATTTGTATAGCGAAGAAAAAGAAGAAATGAAGAATAAGGGAGTTCTGGATAAAGTTTTTCTGGCTTTGTCTAGAGAACGAGATATTCCAAAGGTAAATATATATGTAAATCGTTTTGTTGCATTATTTTTAAGATAAAAATGTACTGAAAGATAATGAAGAATTGGAAAAAGTTGTTCCGTAATTTTAAAATGTGTTAGTATCCAGGTTGGCCATTTTTTAATTTAAATTTAATGCTCGTTGGTTACTACACAAAATTTGTTAAATAGAAGAAAAGTTATAGGTATATTTAAGTCCAGTTTTAAAATACAAAAAATCTGATGGGTTTCTGAGATATTGGACAAAATACTTTATTTCCACTAAAAAAAAATTATATTCGTTAATTTTTTCTCTAATGTTGAAAAAGAACACATTTAGTGAAATTTCACAAGCTTCTGGTGTTTTTAGGCGCTTAAAACGAGACAATGTTTTATTTTGCTTATTATTTATCAGTTTGAGATTTTCTGTTTACCAGAAATTTATTAGTGTGGAAATGACCTTAATATTAAATAAAACATTGGTTTCTATTTAAAACTTGTAATTATGACCTGACACCATGACATATCAAACTCATCTCCAAAACATCCTTTTTTTGACAACTGACTTAAAATTTAGAACTATAGTCACAGAGACCAAAGAATACATACCCAAGAAGCGAAACTGAATGAGTTTTTCTATGTACCAAAGTAGCAGCGACCTTGACGTAAATAGGAACTTAATACACTGGGAAACGTATAATTCCAATCAATTTTTGTTGTTTGGTTCATGAGAATTAAACACATACTAAAGTTAAAATGACGGAAAATTCTTACTATGTTCAATAGATAATGTTAATAATAATAATAATTTTAGTAATAAGTACTGTAGGTAGCTGTAAATGTATTTTGATTGCATGATCCTGATAGCAGCGACTTGGTTCCTCAGAGTGAGTCTGTCATATATATTACTGTTTTAATCCTTACTATAAAATTGTTTATATGTATATTATTTAATGAATTAAATCGATCACAGTCCGTATGGTTTGAAAAACAAAATAGTATATTACATTACGAGTGTGGAAAGTGACATTTTTTACACAAGTGGGAAATATTGTCGCACGAGGTACAAGCTGAGTGCGACTATCACACGAGTGTGGAAAATCACTTTTCACACAAATGATGTACAATATTTTTTCTACGACCACAAAATAATGACATCAAAAAATGTAAAACCAGGTTATTAGTACTATAATAATTAAAATGTATTTTAAAACATAATCAACAATAATCGTATTTATTCAATTTTCATACTTTCTAAACAAAAAAAAAAACTAAAAATTAAAAAAAAAAACAAAAAAAAAATTCTGGCCCCGCCAAGATTTGAACGCGGTCGCTCGCCAAGTCTCAAATGGCAAAGTTAATAAGTTCGACGACCATCTGAGCTAATAACCCTTACGTCAATTGAATGATCTAATCGGTTATGTATTTAACCAGAATAAAAAGCAAACATATCTTAGTTATTTTAAAATTATTTTAATAATAATTGTTAAAGATAAATATCTAGGATCTAATTTACAACAATTTCAATAATTTAACAATCATATCGATTTTAGTATTAATATGGACATTACATAGATCAAAATAGAAATTATATGTTTAACATTTTCTGACAGCTACTGCGGAAAGTAGCATATTCGTACACGGGTGGAAAGTAAATTCTTATTTATACGCGTGTGATATAGGGCACTTTCCATAGTGTGAAATGTGTCATTTTCCTAAGTGGTCGTAGGAAAATATATATATAAAAAAGATTGAAATTTAACGTTGCATAATAAGTAGACGTAATAGTATATTATGCAACGATCATGTAATAACCATTACATGGGAGTGGTATACGCCATTTTTTTTACACCCGATAAATAATCAAGAACTATAATTATTACTAACAGTAATTACTCGTATTTCTATAAATAAACATCTACAAAATTGTAATTGATGGTATTACCTCGAATATTGGTATTACCATAGATTTTTGGTGCAAAATATTTTGTACTGTATTTTCTGATTTCTCCGATATGTGTGTAGGAGTCGATGGTAAGTCTTCTATATCGCTGATATCAGACATTTTGATAATACAAATTATCTACGAAAATTTAATACGTACTGATTTTGACAACTTAAACAATTACATAGGAACTTAGGACATACGTCAAATGCACAGCATGCTTAATTGAAAAATAATCGGTTTCTAGTGAATAAAAATCTCTATCGTTATGAAATATCTGTATCATAATGGGTATCATTATGAAACAGATTATGGGCATATAAGTGCAATATTATAATATGGGTGTAGAAAAATTATCATTATAATACTGAATTAGAAGTTAAAAAATAAAACATTTACGGCCAGATGAAAGAACGTTTATTAAAATGTATAAGCCTGATAAACTTTTACAGAGAGTGAGAAAGTGATATGATATAAACTTTCAAATACTCACAGTCTAATACATGTTAACAAACGTTCTTGCAACCGGCTGGTAAACTCCTAATTTAATGAGTTTTTTTCCGGCCTTTTAATGTAAAAGCTATTATAAATGTTTCAATATACTTAATTTACGTTGGGCCTTACTCTTTTTTTTAACGTTTTTCTGTTTTGCGAATTACAATATTTTAAGGAATAATATATTTTTAACCTAATAAATAATTTTAAAATATATAATACTGGAAAGAATAAAATGGATGTTGAAACTCAATATTTTTCATTTTGGTAAATAGCAAATTAGAAATTCCTATGGTAGTCGAAATAAATATTGTTTCCAATTTATATACGTACTGAACAAATTGTTCACTTGGAGTATTAAGTTTTCCATAAATAGCAAGGTCATTATCGAAGGCTTTGAAATAAGTGAGCAAATGATGAGTGTCTAATACAGTAATGTCTTGAGAAAATTGAATACAAGTGTCACATTTATGTACGTTGAGAGCCTTTTTAAGTAAATATCCACATACGTAATTAAAATAATTTTGAATTAACAACGGTTCTTTTTTATAACATGTGTCAACAGAAATGGCTCTGGTATTAGGTTGACCAGGCGGGCACGTATTTTTTGTTTTTAAATATTTTTGTCCTAAATTAAATAACAGTTTATCCATATCAGCAGTGCAATTCATGTTGGTAGAATGTAAATAGTGTTGACAAAACATGCAATATAATTAACAAATTATGTTTGTGAAAATTATTTTTTCTTTATGTTAGACTAAAAAAGACATTTTTGGCAACCACGAGAAAAGCCTAACCTCTGTGCTATGCTGTCGAGTTCTATTTGGCTACACAAAATACATTATTACCCTAAATTCTACTTAATTATCATTATTTACTTTTATACGCTATATTAATTGATTCTGGATACGACCCTGTCAAAATGTCGCCAATCTAAGCAATCGTTTTGCTTCGGCTCCTCGTATACCGAAGACTATAGTATTAGCTAAATGTTTTTTTTTAATTTGTAACATTTAATTGTACTCAAATACCATAATTTATTTCTTCATGTTAAACACTGGTTAAAATCACTGAACAAACGCCACCCCCGTTAAACTAACATTTATATATGTATATTAGTTTGAAACATTTACCTGAAACAATTACTACCTTTTTTGGAGGATCAATAGTGAGAATATCATAGCTTCGTTTGCATTTGGAGAATACTGTGGGTACAGCATTGTCAAATAATCGTCTTCTATAAGATGTACTGCTTGAAAAATATTTTTCTTCAAAATGTTGTTCACATATTCTATATGAAGATAAGCCACTAGGAACTGTGAAATTTAAATCTTCACGATTACAAGCTTTTAACCAGAGTTGAGCTCTACAAAATTATATTTATTAATACTTAATTTTTCTAAATAAATTTGAACAGTAACATTTCAGTACATACCTTATGGCATCTCCTGGGAATTTAAACATTGTTAGCCCTTGTTCTGAAGTTGTAACACAACCACGAACAACGCAATATATTTTTTCATTGTAATAAAAACCTTTAAACTATCTAATATATAATTACTACTTTTAAATAAACCTACTGAAATTTTCTCAAAACGCTAAGAATAATATACCAAACGTCATACACTACATGAACTGACAACTATATTTGACGTTAAACTACCTCTAAAACACTGAGAAAACTTGGCAATTTTTTGTCCACGAATAGCCCATTTAGTGTGGCTTACCTGTGGAAGTAATGGGTTTAATGATTATCTAGACGGGGAGAGAGGAAAGGTATACAAACGGAGAATTTAGCAGTGCCGTACCGTATGGAAGGGGTTATATATTGTTAATTACTATAAAATGCTAGATGAAAGCGGATGGACATGATTTTAAAAATATTGTTCTATAGCGTATATTTTTACTTTCAATGTAAGAATAGTTTTTCACAGTATTGTGATACTACGTAGACCATGCACAGGCTTGTCATATTGTATATTATTTACTCGATTTTATAGGATTATTAATTTTGTACTTTAAACAATTTGTATACATTTTGAGCAAATATACCTACTATAAAGCTTGACTGATGAAGGAGAAAAGAAAGTAGAAAAATATTGTGAAGAACCCGTTTTATAAGTGAAGCAAGAATATTATACATATTTCTGACTACATACCTTCCTTTATGAAATAAACTAAAGACCAATTAAAGCATTTTATTTATCAACCAAAAATAGTTATACACAAATAATAATAATACTCTCCCTAATTACGGAGATTAATGAACTTTATTATTTACAAAGTACTGTAGCAAAATTTTGCCGTACACAAGCGTCGATTGACATTTTCTGATATTTTTAAATACCTATAATAAGAATCCCTTATTTAAAATGGTTTTATTTGGATAGATGGCCATTTTTTAAAAATATAAATGCAAATAAAAACCTACAATAAATAGGTACATATTATATATAATTAAAAATAAGCTTCAAGATTTATTTTTATTTTTTTAAAATAATATTTAAAGTAGTTCATGCGCAAGACGGCTTTTCTTAGGAATTCAATAAAATTTAAATATAAGGTTAAAGAAAATGTCTTTGACGTACCTAAGTAAAAAAAAATTTTTTTTGACCGTCTATGAAACGAGATATTAACAATGAAATTGTGCATAATTAACAGTTTTTAAGCCTGTCATGTACATAAGCAATGCATTTATTTCAAGATATTTCGAAAATGGTTCTTACTATATTTTTTTAAAAACTAATGTAATGTAAATCAAAAAGTTATAAAATTTTCTAAAAAAACGTTGAATTTTTTGACCGTTTTGGTAAAAAGATAGATTTTTAAAAGAAAAATATTTTTAAATCAGTCGACGTGTAGTGGGGTACAATAATTACAACTTGGCAACATTGTTAGTTCAGAATCACTGAATTACACTCGATCAGCTAAGAGGTTGTTATAATCTAGTGAAGTGTTCTTGAAAAATTAATTTGTCTACTGTATTTGAGAACTGGAATCGACGCTTCTGTTTGAACCAAAGCAAAACCTTAAAATTAGTATGAGGAAGTCACAAAATTTCTATAGGTATACACTTGATATCGCACCATTCCTATATTTGTGACGTTGCCGGATGGATTTTACTTGAAATAATAACGTATCCGTACATAAGCTTACATGTGTTGTGTTCAGTATCCTACAAAAATAACATTTTTCAGCATTAAGAATCTCAAACTATTGGCGATATTTTTGTGTACGACTGTCGCGCGTGAACTACCCTAATAATTACTACATGTAAACAACTCATTTTAAATTGGTCGGTATTAGATACCATAAGTATTTAGTATATTTACCTGCAGTAAAATTGTTTACAATTCAAAACCCATTGGTTATATTTAGGCAGTACCCTGCGCATATGGGATCATTATTATATTCCTCCATAATCCAAGGGGGTTTATCGTTTTCATTATTTCATCTTGAAATTGTATCCTGATATTTCGAAAGAAGAATCACTTCCATGGTTTTATGCAATATTCAACATTTTAACTGACAGTTGGCAACGTTGTAACCATTTGCATTTATTATACAGGCTCCTTATAAGTGCGAATAATAAACAATATTTTCATATGCCCTATTAAACGAATAAATGAATTTCTTAGAATACTGAAGACTTTTACGTAAAAATTATGATGCGATAGCTAATTATACAAAAAAGGCTTACCAAAATATGAGTGGCATGTCACGACGCTTCTGTCAAAAATAAGGGTAGCTTAGATATTAGATTTAAAAGGAGTTTGACATTATGTGTCCGTGTCCATCGCGACCTTTTCAGATCTATTGTGGGACTGCGTTTGTTTTAGAGTATGTCATCTAAGCTTAGACTTTTTTATTAGACTTATTTTCCTTGACAGTGGCATCCACATGTATGTAGTTACATGTGTCTGGCTTTTCTTCATCTAGTATAAGAAATCTCAATCTAGTTAGGCTTTCACATTGGTGCAGGACGTGGATTGATGTTTCTTTTCTAATTCACAGAACCCGACTAAATTAAAAAAAAAAGAATAAATTAGAAAATATCTTAGAATTTAAAAATAATTTAATTTTGTAAAAGAAGTGAAAACTTACTTTTTAGAAGATAAAAATAAATAAATAAATACCTTGGGAGATTCTACTTCTAGTACACACCAACTACGGTTGCTTATTACATTGTTCTTACTTCTTTTTTGCAAAAAAAGTAAAATGTATACGTGTATTTGATACGCCAAAATTACAAAATATCGCCCTAAAGTGGTCGAATTATCTGCAGCTTGCGCTAGTATCGCTTTTGCTTCCCCTACCATAACTTCGCACTGAATATAATCATCATACGTTCCCACATATACATTTTCTATAATACTAGTTCTCTCAACGAAGTACGTACTAAAAAAAATTATCAAGTGTTCAATAATGGGTTTAGTAGGTATAATCAAAAAAGTTTACTTTGTGTTTATTAAACTACAACTAGGAGACAACAGTTCTAAGCTATTTTTCACAGTATTTTAGACCTCAATAACACTTAGTTTCAGAAACGAATTGTTTAATTAGGTGTAAGTAGACGTTTGCAATAAATAATTACCTTTTACCTATATCAATACGAAAGTATGTATATAAAGACACTTGTTTACTTACTCTATTAGCTAAACATTGGATTTCAAATAAAATGTTCGATTTTATTATAGCTAAATAAATCTTCATGTGAAAAGTGATTGAACAAACTTTGGCATCTTTCAGTTTTGAGATCTTGCTTATTTATTTTCAAGTTGTTCAGCCACAATGACATTAGACAATGTCTCTCGGAAACGTGTAAACGTATATACCATAAAATAGCCAGTTTCTACAATTAGGTATTTTTATATCAAGAAATAAAAAAACCCTAGTACAGTTGTTACGCCCATAGATATCTACATTATTTACATTTCATGAGATTGATTTTGACATAACCTACCTGTGAAAATAGCAAGCATTGGTTTTGGGTGTTTTTGGTCCAAAATGTTCGGAAAACTATGCATCTCTTTATTATTTTGAAATGTATAATCACGTTTGTAAATAATTTCTTTCATATAAATAAATAATACAAGAATATTTCACTAAAATAAAACACCGAATGACACTTTTAAAAACATATAGAAACAGGGTTGCCAAATGTCCAGTTAAAATATAGTATTTAATGGTTAAACCGATGGATCGTAGTGAACAAAATCTAAAAACATCTAATTTAAACACCGATTCAATGCAGAAGAAAATTAAATGAGAAATTTTATGAATATGATCCAGATTCTTAAATGAACTGTTAAATATTAAGCTCCATATTAAGTATTTCGAACCTTGAAACATTGAAAACTAATAATTATTATACTTATACGTTTAACCGAAAGTGACACTGTGGCAACCTCTGCTGGTACCACCGTTTGTTGTGCATGCGATTGTGGACCTTATTATCATACGATAATTGTTTATGTAAACAAGGCGTATCTATTCCAATACATTATCGAATCTATTAACAAATAAAAACCGGGCTATTCTTCTTTCTTATTAAACGTCTAACTACTGGTGTACAAGACCACCAAAAGTAAAAGAAGAAGAGCACACATATTTGAAATTTCGCGGGGAATACTACATTAGACTATTTTTTGGCATATAGTTTCGATATTTTTCTTTTTACATGACAATTCCTCGTAAAAACGGGAAAATCAGAATACATTATTTCCCACCAAAAATAACCCTGTTTTGGTGTGTTTTGACTTAAAATCTATACATATGTATAAAAATGTTTATTTTGTTTCAGACGTACGTACAGACATTGGCGTTACAAGAGGGATACGAGATTTTCCAACTACTCGTTAAAGAAAAGGGTCATTTTTATGTTTGTGGTGACTGCACAATGGCGGAACATGTCCATCAGACGTTGCAAAATATTATACGAAAGCATGGATGTATGAGCGAATCAGAAGTGCAGTCTTATATGTTATCTTTGAGGGTAAGTAAGTTTACAGTTAATATATTCTCAAAATTAGGTAATTTTTATAGGAGTTGAACTCGTAAATGTAAAAACAAACAAAAAACAAACAAAAAACAAACAAAAAATAAAATAAACAAAAAACAAACAAAAACAAACAAACAAAAAGCCGAACCCACGGTCGGAACCATCCTTATAAACATTTGAGTACCTCTTATCTCAAAGCATGCTTCAAATACATCCAGATCAAACTCCAGAGGGGGCTCCATCCAACTCAAAACTTTTTTGTCATTTGTCAAGTCACTCGTCTTCTTCTACTTTTCTTTCTTATCCTATGACATAAGCTCTTATTTTTAAGGTTATTTCAGAAAATGTTTTTTACATTATTTCTATGATGCATAATATAAAATAAATATAAAAAAAAGTTTCACTAAATAATTTTATATTTAATATTTTATATAATTTTGCAATATACTTTTATTGAACATCTTTATATTCAATTTCAATTTCAATTTATTTATGACAGGATTAATTATAGTAATAACATGATTAATTACAACAATAAACAAATTATAAATTAATCATAGGTAAATAAGTTAGCACCTAGGTGTGGGCACCTGTATGTGCTAGACAGACTAAAAAAACTAATACATACAGATTAAAAAACTAAAATATAAAGTTAATGTATTTTTATATAAATGTTAAATGTAATAAGGCAGCAATGTTATATTATATAATATGTAATAATGTTATAATCTTGTAATCTACAGGGTTCCAACATATTACAGTGAGATGTGTGTTATTCTAAGAAGAATCTATACAATTTTGGTAGATGAAGGATTTACACGCTTTCTTAAATAAATGTTGTTTGTTAATTAATTTGATCTCAGGAGGTAAAGCATTGTAACACTTTGGTCCTAAGTAATTTATACAATTTTTGAAAGATTCACTATTAGGCATAGATATTTTAATATTCAAGTTACTAAAAGTTCTGGTTTTGTGTTGATGACCCAGAGGTTTTTTTAGTACCTCATGTTTTTGTATGTAACAGCATATTGTGTTCATGTATAAACTTCTAACATTAGATATTGTTTCATTATATAGTAGAATAGTAGGATATAATCGCTGTTTGTTGAAGATAATTTTCAGTATTTTATTTTGTATGACATTTAGTGGTCTAAGGGTTGTTTCATATAGGCCTCCCCATACTAGTATACCATAACGTAGAATAGATTCTACCAAGCTAAAATATAGGCTTATTAAGAGGGAGTTACAATGAACGGATGTAATAGTTTTAAGTGTTTTACTGATATACAATCAAATCCAGGGGTACTGTTGTTCTTTAGGCTATTTATATATCTAATTGTATCATTGTCACAAATAGGTTTTAAGAATATTGACTTAGTTATCATCGTTTGTACAGGGTAATTTATTTTACAATCACGAATGGTTTCATACATTTTTGTACCAATAGAGGTAAAATATTTATTACAATAGTTCGCCATTTCTTTGTCAGTATTGAAATCTTTATTCCCATCATCAACAATTACCAAGTGGTTTTGACTTTTTTTACAGCTGTCATTTGTAGCTTCTGAAATTATCTGGTAGGTTTTTTTTAAGTTATTCTTGTGTTTATTTATTTCATTTTTATAGTAATCATTTTTTGTTTTCAATATTAATTTATTTAAATTGTTTCTAAAAATTTTATATTCATTTTCTTTATTAATGGAGTGCTTTTTTTGTAATTGCTTTTTTAGTTTATCTCTGTTTTTGATGGAATTGATTAAGCCATTTGTTATCCAAGGTTTTATCTTTTTATGAATTTTTTGTTTAATTTTTTTTACAATTTTACATGATTTAATACTATTGAGATATTTGTCATAGAACTTTTGAGTTGCTATTTCAGGGTTATTTTCATTGAGAACACTTTCCCATGTTAAAGCTTCAAATTTAGAAATTAGTTTGTCATTATCAATTTTAGTTATAGTTGTATAGGTAGTTAGAGATTTTGTTTTATTTATTGAAAGAGGTTTTGAAATATTTATCATAACCGGATCATGATCGGTTAAATCGTAGTTTATCACATATGAGTTGAATTTTAATTTTTCGGTTTTAATATTATTTCTTAAAAATATGTGATCCAAACAGGTTTTTACTCTGAGCCCGTGTAATTGTATTTATATAAGACAAGAAGCCATTTGAGTGAAGAGTTGCTTCGTAGTTATTTGTGATATGATTTTTTCCGTCCAGGAGATCGATATTAATGTCTCCTATAAACATTTCAATACTTTTGTTTAGGTGAGTGGGGATGTAATTTTCTATGTCTCGAATAAATGTATCTGCCGAAGTTTGAGGAGACCTATATAAAGCACTAATGCCAATAGTTGTATGATTTGCTGTTATGTTTATTTTAGTAATACAAATGCCTGAAAGTTCGAGCTTTATTGTGTTTATTTCTGCATTTAATTTTGATTTGACTAAAACTATGACATCATCATTTCTATTAATATTACTGTTGTTGTAGTGTATGTTGTAACCCTGTAGATTAAACTGTGAGGTAGATTCTAATTAAAAACATTCGGATAATATAATTACGTCACAAAATTTTATATCATAACTTTCTAGGAATAAGATCAACTCATCAAAATTCTTTTTAATACTTCTGATGTTGAGATGCATGACATTAAGGAGTTTTTCATTTAAATTAATTTTACTTGTTATATTTGGAGCATCAATAATTTCATTATTAGTATCGATTTTTATAGAGTCTAATAAATCGTTTTCACTTACAATTAACATTGAGAGCCGGAATAATTTATTTTATTTCTTAAAATTTGCTGGTGATACTTCAAAGTTGGACATTCACGGTTGTTGTTTTCATGGTCAGTGGCGTGTTGTGTATTATATTTTCTATTTGTCTTTTCACAATTTTTACAAAATTTTTTTAATTTCTTGCACATATTTTCTTCATATTCTTCAGAACATATGGGACACACTATTTTATTTTGACAGTTAATTTTTTTATGGTAGTATTCTTGGCAGTTGAAATATTTTGGTATATTTATGTCTTCATAAACCATGTATCTTTCCCATCCTAGACATACTTTCTTCATATTTATTATTTTGTGGAATGCTGTTGGTGAGCACTCACAGAAAACTGTTTGGGAGTTATTTGTATTTCTTTTTATAAATGTCACTTTGATTTCATCAATTATGTGGTTTTGATCTCTCAAGTAGTTTTCAATTTCCGTTTCTGTATATTCTTGGGTAACATTAACAATTTTTATTTTTGGATTTTTTAATTTGCTTATTTCGATGTCATAGTCATCATTTAAGTTATCCTCTAATGCTTGTCTTAGGATGTCCAGTTCATTTTGATTTTGACAATTGATTACTGTAGTACCATGTTGTGTTGTTTTCATGTTGGTAATGCCAATCTTAAGTTTAGCTGGATTAATCTTAGCATCTATATCTTTTTTGGTTTGGATGGGTGGTTGTTGTTGTTTTGGTTTTATGATTATTTTCGGAATATTAGTTTTTTTTGGGTTGTTAATTGAATTAGATTTATCTTGTTTTAGGACATTGCTGTAGCTTAGGGTGTTCGTTTTTTCTTTTTCTAAGTCATTTATTTTTTCTGTCAACAACTTGATTATCATTTCCTGATCATTTATAATTTTCTCCTTATCCGCTATTGTGCTTTGTAAGATACTCATAAACTCAAAATTTCTGCATTTCTTGCAATGATACTTTAGTGACCTTTTCTGCAGTGGAATGCACCTAACTTCTGTGGTGCTTAATTCGCTACATTCAACACAAATAATGTCTCTGCATAAATCGCAAGGAAAACAGGGACATTTTACATCCTTTGTTGGTTGTTTGATAGATTTACAAATTGAACATTCCATATTAAAATCTTTTTCATTGTCCGTTTATGACTCCTAATCTCTCCTGCACTGGTGAGTAGATAAATATTCAGTCTATTAGGTTTTTTGTGAATAGATATAAACAGGTGTTGTAGATAAGGAAACTAGTTACCAGCAAAAAAGGTTCATCCAACTGAATAATTCACACTTAAATGCACATTCTAGCTGCACTAAAACACCAGAAGTTGATAAGAACTTATTAACATATAGGTGGCACTTAGGACGACACACAGCGTTAAAATCACAGTTTGAGAGTTATTTTTTTAGCTTAAATTCTCATTAATTTTAGGAGCGTTTAAAAACACGTCAAAACTTTCTTGTGAGCAACCGGTGATCCTAGCATGTGCTTTTTTGAATATTTCCAAAAGAATATGTTTGGTATATTATTAAAAAATCACAACCGTTAGTATATTCTAATGACCTTTATAGTTTATTTGAAATATATGTCCTATAAAGGAATCGTCTCAGAATATCTGGTGCTATTTGGGTAGTTGATCTATGTTAACGAGACATCTAGCTACCATAATTCCTTCAATTACAAATTCTTCATTCTCCACAATGCCCACATGTAAATTGTGTAATTTCTCGTCGAGACTACAGCTTCTGAGTGTTGAGCTACTTTTATACCTTTTTCCACTAGGACCTCTATCGGTTGACTTTTTTTTTCGAATTTAGGACAATCCTTACAATTACCAAAATCTTATTTTAAAGGTTGATGATGAACTTATTTTGCATAATGTCTATGAAATGCACATTCATCCTTAATATTGTTTACCAGAAATAAGTAGTCTAGGAATATAATTGCACATTTTTTCCTGATCCCAAACTGCTAAATTGTCTATAAAATTTCTATCTAAATTTTGGATATGTATAAACAATGCCGCCGAACCGTGAGGCGCAGCTGGGGTCTCTCTCCCGGAGTCATCAAATGGATTTACATGGCCATCATAAGACCTAAGCTAACACACGGTGCTGTTGTTTGGGTACAGAAAACCTAAAAATTGACAGCTATACGTAAATTACAATAAATTCAAAGAACAGCATATCTCAACATAAGAGGAGCCATGAAAACCACAGCGACCAGAACCATGGAAGTAATTTTTATATTCATTCCCTTTGATGTTTACATCTGAAGACAATGACACACCTCTGCACGGTTGGAATTGAACCTGATGTAGGATCTGATGAGGCGATACGTAGCTTTTGGCAGGCTCTCGATACGCTCTCTTTGCTTCAAGCGAACTTGGACTCAAATCTCACCCAGACATAGCTTTCATAAATCATATAAAGTTATAACAGAACAAATAGAAGAGCCAAACGTGGCAGGTACGATTCACATCACCGACGGTTCTAAAATACGGAAAAGCTTCTTTCTACGTCAACAGATGTAATAGGGGCGTTTTTTAAATGTAACAAAATTTTTGGCTCCAGTATAAATGTTTCATCGAAATAAAGAATTGGCTGCTTGTGAAAGGAATTTGTAGCCATGGTTCTTATCAATTACTGCTTTGAATTTTTTATATATTTCCAAGCCAAGAATTCATCGCTCTTGCAAACGAAAGACGTGCTATTCAGTGGTATACGAACGGTTTCAAAACCATAGAAGGAACTGGAATAGAAGTGTATGGGCCGAGAACCAAGCACTCCGAAAGCTTGGGAACATACCCAAGCATCTTCCAGGCGGAAATTCACGCCATCGAGAAGTGTATCCAGTTTAACATCGAGAGAAACTATCATAGACAAGAGATTATCATCATGTCCATCAAAGCGTTGAACTCTTACGTAATCAGCTCAAAAATGGTCTGGAGATGCCTAGAACAATTGAATGAGCTAGGCGAGAAAAATAGAGTTACTCTCACTTGGGTCCCGGGACATAACGGGGTACAGGTGAACGAGATTGCAGATAGTCTTGCAAGGAAAGATGGCTCAAACACCCTTTGTAGGACCTGAGCCGTTCTGCGGTATGAGCAGTAACATAATATTAGGAGAGATTAAAAAAGAATTGGGCAGTAGAAGAACCAATAATTGGAACAATCTCTTGGGGCTGAGATAGGCCAAAATACGTCTGGGTGAATATAACCAGGAAAGATCGAAAGCCTGCATCTGCTTGAACAAGAACAGGCTACGTATTGTAACAGGGATCCTTACCGGGCAATGGCGACTAAAAGGACACCTGAATAAACTGAGAGTAGTAGAGGATAGTAAGTGCAGATTCTGTGAGAAGGAGGACGAAACCTCCATTCACATCCTAACTGAATGTGTAGCACTACAGAATCCAAGGGCACTATATCTAGGAGGATATCATATAGAAGAGGGAGATTTACCTAACTTGAAGCCACTTCAAATCCTACACTTCCTTGAGAAAATAGGATTGGAAGGGTCGTTATAGGCATTGAGACACTAAAGGGGCAGCAACAGTTCAAGCGCAGCTCTTATGTAAATTAACATGGGAAATCGATAAGGTTCATTCTGCCAATTTTTGACGGTGACGTCACATGTCGAGAATCATCAACTAACTCGTCGAGCCACCAACGGGGGAGTGGGGAAAGCGGCGAAGTGGGGGGAGTGATGGAAATTAAATCTCTTTTAACGTTGAAGAGAAAAATTATGCCACAAGGGCATTAGCGTGTATCTCAGCTATTGTTGGTCCGATTTAAACGGGAAAAACGGGGTTATGTAGAGAACGTGGTATAGATTAACGTTGAAAAGAAAAATCATGCGCAGCACGAAAAGCCACAAGGGCCTTAGCGTATATATCAGCTATCGTTGGTCCGATTTAGACGGTAAAAACGGAATTACGTAGAGAACGTGGTATAGATTAACGTCGAATAGAAAAATCATGCGCCGAACGAAAATCCAGAAGGGCTTTAGCGTGTTTCTCAGCTATCGTTGACTCGATTTAAACGAGAAAAATGGGGTTGTGTAGAGTACGTGGTATAGATTAACGTCGAATAGAAAAATCCTGCGTAGAACGAAAAGCCACAAGGGCCTTAGCGTGTAACTTCACAGCTGTTGATCCGATGCAAACGGGAAAAACGGTGTTATGTAGAGAACGTGATATAGATTAACTTACAAGAGAAAAATCCTGCGCAGAACGAAAATCCAGAAGGGCCTTAGCGTGTAACTTCACGGCTATTGGTCCGATTCAAACAGGAAAAACGGCATTATAAAGAGAACGGGGTATAGATTAACGTTGAACAGAAAAATCATGTGTAAAGCCAGAAGGGCCTTAGCGTGTATCGCGTGGTCCGATTCAAACGGGAAAAACGGCATTACGTAGAGAACGATTAACTTTGGTGCATTAGCGATAGAAGGGGGCACAATAGATCTTTTAGGTCGCAGTGTATTAATACCCCATTTTCAACATAAAATAACATACAATCATTTACTTTTTTCCTATTTTCTTAGAATTATACTTGTTACATACACAACAACACAAAAATAAGATCTTTTAAATTTACTTTACTGGCAAGACCAAATATTAAAATATTTTAGTTAAATTGTGTAGGAATTATTTGTAAAATTCTTACAGATATGCTAAAAATTCAAAAATAGTTAAACATATGAAAAATTTAGAAAAATTTCACATAATGAAAAATATGCCAAATATGAAAATTGCATAAATGCCTCACTCTAGTTATCACTTTATCAGAGAGAAGGTTTTAGAAGGAATGTTTAAAATAACTCATATCTCTGAAACAGAACAGCTGGCAGATATTATGACAAGGCCGCTTTGTACAAATCAATTTCAGAAACTAAGAGATTTATTTGAAATAGTCTTCAAAATTAGGTTCAAGCTGAAGTATTGAGAATTGAAGAATATTTTTAAAGATCACAGTAATTTAAAAAAAAGGTTTTTTTTTTTATTAACTTTACTTTTGATTTTGGCATATTGATTTTTCTATTTTTCGCTTTCTGTAACAACTTTGGCAATACAGTTTTTAGATTGATGTAATATATATTTTTTTAAATTGTTCCTTTCTGTTCTAGGACGAAAATAGATATCACGAAGATATATTTGGTATTACTCTTAGGACCGCAGAAGTGCACAACAGATCTCGGGAAACTGCAAGAATTCGGATGGCTTCGGAACCTTAACAATATCACTATTAAAACATAGATTTATTGGAGAAGGCTTATGAATGCTTACGTTATGAACTTAGTGGATTTTTTTTTATTTTGCATTAGTTTTAAATAACTCTTTTAAAATAACTCCAAACTTTAAAATGTATTTAATAAGGACCTGTGTATGACTTTGGTCGAAAAATTCTGATTCAAGTTGAACATGAAACATTGATTCCTCCTGATAAATAATCACCTGGGCACTTATCTACCAACAAGTCTTCGAAAATTATTATTACCTATTTAAAATATGATTTTTTTTAAACCAATATTTTCTTTTTTATATCGGATATAATGATTGTAAACTTTTGCTGCAAAATTAAAATCCTACTAACTCGATATAATAAACATTCATGCAAGTCCACCTCTCTGACTACTAGCAAAATAAAATTTAAATAATTTTTTGAGTGAAAATGATTAAATTTAATGATTTAAATACTCTAAAATTAATTATAAGTAAAAGCACATATGAATTATCAAAGGTTGCACTTTTAAAATTTTAATATTATTAACTATACTGAAATATATTAACATTTAAACAATTTTAATCACTAAAATTATAATTTATGTAAGATAATAATATTAACCAACGAAATGTATCTATTTTTTCTTCTTTAAAAATATAAATAACATTTTTTAAATTGTTTTATTTATTACTATGTTAAATATATAAAATATATATCTCTATAATATGTTGGTACAAATTTAACAAATAACATCTCAGTTATTATTTAGATCCAGTACAAGGTACAAAAGAGTAACAACTTTAAATTAACAAAAAACATATTAAACTGAAGGAAAACGTATAACAAATAAATAAAAAATACAAAAAAATGAGGAGTATTAACCCCTTACTGCATGATTTTTTTGATTAATATTATTTTAATTTATGTAATGTATTATGACCTCAGAAGATCTGGAAAAATATTTAAAAAATTCTACGGCATGTTTTTTTTTTCTTATATTCAAAAATTTTGACATGTGCTAAATATGGAACAAATTTAGGTAACATTAATATTAAAAAATATACATTTTAATAATTTTAGTAATGAAAATATAAAAAATATTTCTTATTCAGTATGAAAGCGATAAAAACAGTTACGGTCCTTATTAAGACACAAAAAAACCATACATTTTGCACAATAAATGTGTAATTTTCCCTTTCAGTCTATATACTTGCAGCGTTGACGCTCAGTATGAGACCATTCCGGTAAGTGACCCAAGTTATCAGTTCTAATTTCTCGAGCTGGTATTTGCGCAAATGGGTATTTTTTCTTTTTCAATTGCAATTGAGTTTGTAAGTCATTGCTTGGCCTTCCCCTTTTTTTTTTTGTAGAACATTAGCCCTGGTTAGAATTTCGGCTAGTGCCAGCACAATATATCCCCTATAGTAATGTAACTGGGATTCAAGAAATGGCTTTGAGTTACGCTGCGGCCAGACAAAGGTCTCATGGCGCTAGTATCGTTATTGATTTTTGACTTCGGCACGTTCATTGGTTGACGACGAATTCAAAACAATCTGATCGGAGCGTTACTCACTCCCACTCCTTCTCTTTGTTTAGATACTTATAAAAGAAAGAGATACCAGTTAATAATTTCTATTTCGAATCATCTTTCATTCTTTAGCGTTGAGTTTTTATAAGTGAAGCGTGAAGTGTCAGTGTTGACAAGTGATAATTTTTTGATTTTTTCTTCTACGAAATTTAATATTAATTTTGTTTCAGCGATATTTATTGTGATTTGTGTTGTTGTATTAAGTGCTTTCTTATTTAATATGGGAAACAAAACGTACAACAAACTCAGAAAAAGAGGAATCGAGGAGGGATTGCTATCTATGGCTGTCATCCAAGGGTCTGCGCCCTAGATAATACTTTTCCAGTGGAAAAAGCCTTTAAAATTCAAGTATAACAATTGTATGTTTCCGTTTTCCCTTCTTTTAATGTAGGTGCCAATTTTGAGGTAAGTTTGTAATAATTTTTCAGTTAATACCTACCCTCTTAATATTATAATTTAACTATGATCTTATGCTTTCCTATGGACACGATTCAAGGAGGGAGTCCTATGGCTGTCATCCAAGCCCTAGATAATAGTTTTCCAGTTGCAACAGCCTTTAAAATTCAAGTATAATAATTTACTTTTTTCGAAGTAGATGTCCATTTAAACTAAAATTTTTTATTTCACTTATTGATGTTAGCATTTATATACAGTATCGGCTAATGAACACTTTCCAATACGCTTGGCTAGAATCGAAAATAAAACTAAAGAGTTAGCGCATTAGTTTGATCAGGAAACGAATAATATGAATGTTGCCTTGTGTGCTGTGTAATATGAACAGGCACACGGTGTGATGCATCCCCACGTAGCCGGTTGGCTACGTTCATAGTATTATATTCCTTCTCCCACTAATGCTAACTCTTTGTAGTTTTTACTTGGACATTAGCAAAACGTATTGTACAACATTCGATAGCTGCCACTGTATTATCACAAACATCTCTTAATAACTAAATGATTTCATTTAATAGTTTCTTTTTTTTTTTTTCAGTAAAATGGATATGGCTAGAGTTATCTTCGTCTTTAAAATATATTAAATAAGTTTTATAATTTTTCAAATAAAATACTTTATACAATTTTTTGTTTTTTTACCAGAGCCAATTTTTTTTCAGATCTAACCTCTATAGGTAAAAAATAAGTGATTTAGGTAAAATTGAAAAGTATATAACATGTTCTTTTAAATGTGTTGTTAATCCAAATGCTGCTCTTATTGTAATAGCTAATAATAAAAGAATTAGTATTATTTTTAGCTATCAAAATAAAAATAGCGCCTGGATTTACAGCTCGTTTAATCGAACATGCAATATACTTCTCAATAATTATTGCCGAATGAATATATTTAAAAATTCCCGCCATTCCGCGGCTGAAAATTTACAATTTTGGCGGGAAATTTAAATTTCGCCTTTAAATTATATTTGAATTTACCGCCATATCGAGTTAGTTGAGCGGTCAGACACAGACGCATTCTTGCGCTGCAAACTTAGTGCCAACTCTTTAACAAGTGAGATGCACTACTATAGGGGATATATTGTGAGTGCCAGTTTGAATTCTGCTAGAGGCAAGTACATCCCAGCTAGCACCGGACGTCGTTTCACGTCATAATCACGTTGAATTTTGGTCAAATACGTCGATGTGATTTTTTGACGCAAAAGTAACGTAATAATGACGTCATTTTCGGACCAATTTGACACGTAAACACAGTTGTTGCGAACAAAATACACCTATTTATGTCATAAATGCAATTCGAGTTTTTTTTATTCATTATTAGATAAATAGAAGGTAATTTATACAACATCGTTTATTTTGCGGTCATTGTGACACCAAAATAAGACGTACTATGACGTTATTTAGGGACTAGTTTGTCACGTTCTGAAATGAGGCGTTAAACTGCGCACATGTATACGTCGATTCTATACCTTTATTGTTTTACATTCTATTTATTAATAAAAGTATCTTTAGTGTTTATAATAAATTAATGATTCTCATTTTAAATCTAGGGATTTTTGGGAATTTTCATTTTTAAATGAAATTTTATGTCAACACTGTTTAGAAATGTCAGCTGTCATGTCATTGTCCAAGGTTAGCGGTTCACGCCATTTTGTGTTATTTTTGTAACTTGTGTTTGGAACATTCTTTTATTGTATGATTTTGTATGTGTTTTGAAGGTAAGTAGTTAGGAAGTTTAGTGCGATATTATTGTTTATATTTAGTATGTTTATAGGAATTCAATACGCCGACAAGCACGGCACCGGAGTATTATTAAACCACTTTAAGTTCTAAGTGGCCGACATCCTGGGAAATGAGGTTCTTATAAACAACAAGAATCTTTTAACAAGAGCTTAAAAAAGGAAAAAATTGGACCCTTTCCTATTTATAGAACATATTTTACCAAAGGTGAGTGATTTTTTATATTGTAAAGGTGCCTGTAGCTAGCCTAATTTTGTTTTAACTATTAACGTAGACATTAATATAAACAAAAATTTAAGGATTTTAAAACAGAACCGTTCATAAAGATAATTTAAACATACACATTCCTAAGATTTGATATTAAGTTGATTTTTATTTATCTTTACTATGTTAATGTTGATGCCTATGTTATTCTGTATAAACAGGTACATTGAAATAAATTAATAACTTTGAAACTAAATCAGGCTGACTAAACTCACCTTTAGACAATTAAAACACTGGTCTATGTATTATTACTAAAACCTTTCCCTTTATGTACTGTGGTTTTAATTACATTGTTTTATAAAATTATTTTGCATTATATACCTTGATATTATATTTTTTGAATTTTTGTTGGTTACTGAGACTTATTATAGTTATAGTATTTCGTAAACCATCTCTGTGAGCCGTTTTATTTATTTAAAAAAATATAGTGTATAAAATTATTAATCTGTTTTAGAGAACTACCAAATAGCTAGCCAAAAAGCAACAAAGGTTCTTATGACATAGGATATAACAAGTGATGATGAGTTACAACCTCTTCCTTGTAAAAGAAAGCCATTAAGAAAAATATTTTCAAGTGAAGATGATGAATTCATTATTGATGACGAACCTATTGGTAGGCAAGCACTGCTTTGTCTAGCAAAACTTATTTTTTATTATGAGTAAAATTCATACTTTTGTGACAATGTTATAAGTAGGTACATTTCTTTTATTCCGAACAACATTTTTTTCTTCAAATGTCAATAATTATTTTTCACAATTATTAAATATCTCACCTTTACTTTCAAAAGAGCTTGGGGGTAAAATAATTTTTCCTCTTATTAATATATACCTTGTAAAAATAATAACATTTCTTCATTTCATTAATTATAAAAAAGTCAGGTTAACCTGGTTTAAAATTCACAATTTTACATAACTTTAAAAATTAGCATCATAAAATTATTATTAAAATATTAGGTTTTTGACCCATGAAGAAATACTAAATTTTGTGTTAGCTAGGAGCATCTAGTACTCTTTAGCCAGGCGCATATTAAATTTTTTCATTGATTTCTCTTGACAGATCTGATTTTATTTATATTGTTAAATTTGTGAACCATCAAATATATCACTTTTGTGACAGCTTAATTTCTGTCTTTCTCGGTCAATGCTAACTCTATTTTTTGGCTCAAATTTTATTTAAATAATTAAGTTTCTGGTAGTTATAACTATTATATTTTTGTTTTAGTGAAACGAAAATTTAATAAGGATACCATTGAAGCTGCTTCAAGCCTGTATATTCGGAATGATTTGTTGAATATCTGGACACTGCTATATAATCTTTTGTAATTTATACATTCTAAGTACATATTCTAAGAAGTAATGTTTATTTAGTAATAGTTCAGGTTAGTATACTATGTTTCAATTTTTATTAATCATTTTTTTAATAAAACGTTTTTTATAAACATTTTTTTACAAATTAAACATTTTTAAATGAATATTATGGTGTTTTTTTGACGTCTAAACACGTTATCTGGTGACGTGTTGATCACGTCACTGTATGACGTCTTTGATCTGTGACATATTGCCGTCATAATCACGTCACTAGCACGTCAT